AGTCTCCAATTCCAGGCTGGCTTCCTCAGGCTCTTCCTTTTGTGGGCAATTGCCTTTCTAAACCAAATGGCACTGAGATTATGGCACAAGTGTGTTCCTCCTCACTCCATGGTGGGGAATTCAGGGAGGGAATTGATGCCATGAATCTTCCCACTGCTGGAAAAGCCATCTCTGGGCTGTCCCCTTATGAAAGCAGGAAAGAAGCCACTTGTGAGGTGTTGTTCTCCCAGGGTGACTCCCAGGCAGGACAGATTTTAATGGAAGCTTTTCCATTGCAATCACAATGTGGTTTTCTGTGGCAAGCAGGGACTGAGTTTACCCAAAGCAGGAGACCAGAGTCTCTCTTCCACTGGTTTTCATGGACAAGTGGGAATTCAGTATCACAGAGCCCTTTGTCCCCCTCTCAGGCAAGGCTGGCCCTGGCCTGTGCTGCCAATGTTACAAAGTCCATCAGCCCCTCCTGGTCTCCAGGGCTTTTCCAGCTTTACCTGCACTCCAGCTTCTTTGCAGGCTTCAATGACTGCCTTGGTTCCCATAAAATTCACCTTGTAGAACAGCTGCCTGTTGTCACTGGAAGGGGCTGGGGAGGCACAGTGGAACACCACGGACACTCCTTGCAGGGCTGGCAGCAGAGCCTGCAGGAAACACGGGGGAGAAGGGAATGGAGCAACAGCCATGGTGGATATCAGGAAAAAATAACAGCAGGGAAATAAAGCAGTTTTTTTTCATGGAAACAGCTGCATTTCAAGTCATGTTCCTCCATAAAGGTGGGCAGCTGGATGGGATTAGCATCCAGGATCTGCACAATGTCCTGTCCTCAGCACACACCACATCCTCTCTTCTTCCCAGAGAAATCCTGGGAGCTTCTCCAGAGCTGGAGGCTGTCCAGGCTGCACTCCCTGCAATCCCCAGGTGCAGGTACAAGGCTCAGGACTCCCTGGAGTTGGGTCCCTGAGGAAGCAGCAGGTTTAAAGCTCCCCATGGCACTGGCTGAGTGCAGGTGACTGTCCCAAAGTCACCTCCCACATGGCTCACACAGGTCTTGGCCAAGGCTCCCACTCATTCCTGTTGGGAATATGAGTTGTGCCACTCTCATGGAGCTGAGAAGAGCTGGGAGAGCCCCCTGCAATTAGCCCAGGAGCTGTAATTACCCTGTAAATCTCAGCTAACAGTAATGCAAGGCACCAGGCACAAAGCAGTCCTGCGTCACAGACACATTTTATGAAAAATCCTTTCCTTAGGATTTTTTCCTCCTGAGAAGCTGAGAGGCCTCAGGAACAAAATGTAACCAATGGTTATCTGCTGCTGTGGGATGCAACAGGTGCATCTGGGATTGGGCTCATGTGGTTGTTTCTAATTAATGACCAATCACAGTCAGCTGGCTCAGACTCTGTCCAAGACACAAACCTTTGTTATCATTCTTTCCTTTTCTATTCTTAGCCAGACTTCTGATGAAATCTTTTCTTCTATTCTTTTAGTATAGTTTTAATACAAAATTTATCATAAAATAATAAATCAAGCCTTCTAAACATGGAGTCAGATCCTCATCTCTTCCCTCATCCTCAGACCCCTGTGAACATGGTCACAGTCCTGCTTCTTCCAGCAGAATCCAGACATCAGACACCAGATCTGTTTCCTTCAGAGGCTTCCAAGCAAAAGTGCAAGGCCTGCATTTGCCCCTGTTCCTTCCTCACCTCCTTGTCACACAGGTCTCCCAGGAAGAAGGTCACCTGCTCACTCTCAAAGCTCTGCTGGATGTCGAAGACGTTGACGCTGTAGCCCTTGGCCAGCAGCTGCTCCACCATGTGCCGGCCCAGGAACCCCGAGCCCCCGATCACGGTGCAGCTCCTGCCAGCCTGCAGGGACAGGGACAGGGACAGGTCAGGACAGGGAGAACCTCCCTGACACACAGGCAGACACACAGCACACCAGCCTGAGCTTCCCTGGGGCTCAGTGAGCTGCAATTCTGCTCAGCAGCTCCACCACAGGAATCTGAACTGGGACATCAAAGCTCTGTGCTGTCCCAGGGAGTTACGAGTGCAGGCACTCTGATTTTGGGGTTCTGGGGTTCTGCCTCATGCTCACAACCAAGAGGCTCAGGGAGGAGAGAAGGAAAGAAAGATTGGTCCCTATGAACTCTGCTTGGATAGCAAAGCAAACAGAATTTGAAGGGAGCCTGCGAGATGGAGAGAGATGGTTTACACAGAGAGCACAGAGAGGCAGGACCCAGGGAATGGTTCCCACTGCCAGGGGGCAGGGATGGATGGGAGATTGGGAATTGGGAATTGTTCCCTGGCAGGGTGGGCAGGGGCTGGGATGGAATTGCCCAGAGCAGCTGGGGCTGCCCCTGGATCCCTGGCAGTGCCCAAGGCCAGGCTGGACACTGGGGCTTGGAGCAGCCTGGGACAGTGGGAGGTGTCCCTGCCATGGCAGGGGTGGCACTGGAGGGGCTTTAAGGTCCCTCCCAACCCAGAGCAGCCTGGGACTCTGGGATGATTCTGTGATTTGCCTCAGCCTCCTGCCACAGCTAACTCAGAGCATTAAAACCATCACCATGATCAGAACCTGTGACACTCAGAGCCAAGGAAGCAGCCAGGTAAAGGCAGAGGCTGTCCTTTTCAGCCATTAGTTCTTCCTTTCTTTTTCTTTAGGCTTTGTAAATCATTGATTGGAGTCACTAATTAACAGAGTTCAGGCTGGCCACTGGTCTGACTGGACTGAGACCAAAGACCTCACTGCCAGCACAGAACATCCAGGCCTGAGTCTGAGGGAGCTGTTACACAAAGAATGCTCTGTGCTGGCTGGAGAGTTTTACTCCTGGTTGTAACACAACCCCCACCTCTGCAGAGAGCTCTGAGGGAGTCACACAAAGACAGGGATTGTTCACAACTCTTGAAAGGCCACATCCTCAAAGGTTCTGCTGCCAAGTGTTGGGTGATCCACAAGAGAAATGTGGAGCTCCCTGAGTTACATCAAAGCTGCAGCAGGTATTTGGGATGGGCCATGCAGAGGAGAGTCTGATCAGGGTCTGGAGCTCCTGTGAGGAGCAGCTGGGAAGGGGCTGAGGCTGGAGAGGAGCTGGGAAGGGGCTCAGCCTGGAGCAAAGGAGGCTCAGGGGGCCCTTGTGGCTCTGCACAGCTCCTGACAGGAGGGGACAGCCGGGGGGGTCGGGCTGTCCTCCAGGGAACAGGGACAGGAGCAGAGGGAACGGCCTCAGGCTGGGCCAGGGCAGGTCAGGGTGGCATTGGGGACATTGTTTCACTGAAAGAGGGGCCAAGCCCTGGCACAGCTGCCCAGGGAGGTTTGGAGTCCCCAGCCCTGGAAGTGTTCAGCCAATGAACAGATGTGGCATTGGAGAAGATGAGGGGATTCAGTCAGAGGGAGGATGGCTGCTGAGGGGACAGAAACTGTTTCAGCCTCTCCTCAAAGGCAGCCACTCCCTCCCACGGACATTTCCCTTCTCCCTGCACCCGTTCCCATTAGGTCCCTTCCACCCCACACCGTTTTGGCATTCCCTGATGGCTGTGCACTCTCCAGGAGCCAAGAGCACCCCAACTGCTCTGAGATGTGCCTGAAGTGAAGTTTTACTGCAGCAGAATGCTGCCCTCTGCCTCTGAGTCCCAGAGCACTGCAGAGGCTGCAAAGGAATCCCAGAATCCCAGACTGGTTTGGGTCAAGAGGGATTTTAAAGTTTATTTTATTCCACCTTCCACAGGGACACTTCCAATATCCCAGGCTGCTCCAAACCCCATCCAACCGGGCCTTGGACACTTCCAGGTATCCAGGGCCACAATTATATATAATTTTATGATAAACTCTCTATAATTTGATATTGCACAGCATAATATTTATGGCAAGCCAAGCTACATGTCTATATTGATTTTAAGGTATGAATTCAACCTACCCAAATTATACCTTGGAAAATCATGTTTTACCCCCAGAATTATCATTAATGCAGGATCAGCCTCATGTCTTCCCTAGTGATGGGCAGAATATTTATGAATTTGTTTCTGCAAGACAAAACTTCCCCAAGCACCATTTGAGGCCCCAACTCACCGATCTGAGGCATGTGGCCATGGCTTGGGTGAGGCACTGTCCACCAGAATCCTTGAAAAAAAGGGAGAATATTTTTATTCCCAATAAAATAACACATCTCTAGTTGCAGAAATCAAGCTTTGGAGCCATTATGATGAAGAACGATGAAGAGAGGGAGTTAATGCTCCCTGCTTTTCCAAACTAAATCAGCAACTACAGGTGCTGGCCTGGCTCTTTGGTACTGATTTTTCGGAAACTCCTTTGAAATTCCAAGGAAAAAGCCGAGAAGAGGCGGAGTCGATGCCTGTCCAGCTGGAGCACCGAGCTGGTTTAAAGCAGGGGCACAGGGTGACCCTCCTCTTCCACCCCCTGTCCCTCAGCATCTCATCCCTCTCCAGAATGCACTTGACGAACTGCTGCAGCTCCAGTTCCCCCTCAGCTCTTTCAGCCCACCCCCGAGCACCCCAACCTCCTCCCCTCGGCCTTTAGGGCCTCACCCACAGCCCCCAGCACCTGCTCCCCTGCTCCCGGCACGTTTCCACAGCTCCCAGCTCCCTCCCCACAGCCCCCAGGGCCCTTTCCCCTGCCCCCAGGTCCCTCCTCACGGATGCCAGGCCCTGTCCCGCGACCCCAACCCGTTCCTCGCCAGTCCCAGCACCTTTCCCGGCTGCCGGACCCTCCCGGAGCCCTCTCGCCGCCACCGCCTTCAGGGAGCCCTGCCCACGCCCCCTGCCTGCATTTCACCAATCAGCGCAGCGCTTCCTCCCAGACCACGCCCCACTCGCCCTGGTCCCGCCTCTTTCCCTGGGGCGAGCATCGCGCCAGCCTTCTCCCGCTCGCTGATTGGTCTAACCCCCCTTCACTCCGGCCAATCGCGTTGAAGGAAGGAGGAGATTCTCCCACGAGCTCATTCACCTTTGGCTCCGCCGTCACGCCAGCCAATAGGAGCGCGCGTTGCCATAGCAGCGGCGTGGGGGCGACAGCCAATGGGAGGGCACGATATTGAGGCTGCCAGGCGCGAAGCCGGCGGGATGGTGAGGGGGGGAGCGGCTGTGAGGGGCTCAGCAGCGGTCAGGGGGCGGCGAAGGCGCTGAAGGGGCTGGGAGGGCACTGAGGGGGCTTGAGGAGACTCAGAAGCTGGGAGGGGGCTCCAGAAGTGTGAAGGGTCTCAGGGGCTTTGAGGAGGCTCATGGACAGGGAGGGGGCTCAGGGGCCGTGCGGGGGCTCAAGGTTTTGACAGGGGCTCAGGAGCACTGAGGGGGCTCAGGGGTTGTGAGGGGGCCTCAGGGACCATGATGGGGGCTCAGGAGCACTGAGGGGGCTCAGGGGTTGTGAGGGGGCCTCAGGGACCATGATGGGGGCTCAGGAGCACTGAGGGGGCTCAGGGGTTGTGAGGGGGCCTCAGGGACCATGATGGGGGTTCAGGGGCAGTGATGAGGGCTCAGGGTTTTGATGGGGGCTCAGGAGCACTGAGGGGGCTCAGGGACCATGGTGGGGCTCAGGGTTTTCACGAGGACTCAGGGGCTGTGAGAGGGCTCAGAGGCTGTGATGGGAGCCCAGGGTTTTGATGGGGGCTCAGGGGTACTGAGGGGGGCTCAGGGGCTGTGAGGAGGCTCAGGGGTCATGACGGGGTTCAGGGTTTTGCCGGGGGCTCAGGAGCACTGACGGGCTCAGGGTCCATGATGGGGCTCAGGGTTTGTGAATGGGGCTCAGGGGCGGTGGCTGGGGCTCAGGGGCCATGACGGGGCTCAGGGTTTTGCCGGGGGTTCAGGGGCAGTGCCAGGGCTGAGTCCCCGTTCCCTCCCGACCCCGCTGTTCCGTGCCGAGGCCTGCGGCTTTCAGAAGCCGTCGCTGGGAGCCGCGGCGCAGAGGAAGAAGGCGAATCCCAAGCTGGAGCTGCCGGAGGAGCAGCAGCGGGAGATCCGCGACGCTTTCGAGCTCTTCGACACCGACGGCAGCGGCAGCATCGATGTCAAAGAGCTGAAGGTCGGGGTTTCCCTGGGGCTGAAGGTCACTGAGGTTTTAAGGGAACAGGGCCATAAATGCTGAAATAACCTCAAAAAGCACTGGAGTTTCCTGGGTTTCCCCCTCCTCCCTCCAGCAGAACACCTGGTGGGCAAAACGCACCGTTTTCTCTTTAATTGCAGCTCTTTACTGCCTGATCCAGTGTGTTTAGGGCCAGGCTGCTCAAAATTCATGTATAATTCTGTGCTTTGTGTCCCAAATCCTTCTCTGTGCATAAAACATCAAAAAAAGGAGTTGTGCCCGTTAAAAAGGTGGTGGGGGGGGGGGGCATTCCCCTCTTGTTGAGGATTTTATGCTTCAATATTATTGTTGTGGTTGTTGTTGCTATTATCTGGCCCTTTATCAAAGGAAGAAAATGTTTTCCCAACAAGATTTTTATCACTAGAATGAAAAATAAACTTATTTAAATTCCCTGTGGTTGATCAGTTAAAGATGGTGAGAGTGTGTGTAGGAAATTCCTGGATTAGCTGGGGGACAATTCCAGAACAGGAATATTTCTATCCCTGTTTTCTGCATCCTGATGTGAGTGCAGAGCAGCTCACTCTCAGCCTGCCCCTGTTTTCTGGGAGAATTTTGGACACTTTTCCCCCCTCTCCTGTGGTTTTGGTGGCAATTTTGTAGGATTTGTAACTTATTTTGTCCTTCCAGGTGGCCATGAGGGCCCTAGGGTTTGAACCTAAGAAAGAAGAGATCAAGAAAATGATCTCTGACATCGATAAGGAAAGGACAGGAAAAATCAGCTTCAGTGACTTCCTGGCAGTGATGTCACAGAGAATGGTATGGATGTTTCACAGCTCCAAAGGGAATTTTGAAGGTGGATCAGGAGCCTTTGTCTCCTTTTGGGTTTATGGGGAGATTAAAGCACTATATATTTTAATCCTAACAATTAAATGTATAAAATTTGGGGTAATCCTTATCGTGGATTCTCTCATTTCTCAGGGAAAAATTAAAATCCTGATATCATTATCAGGTTTCTTTAACAAGCAGAGGTGAATTTTGTGTTGAAAAAAGGGAAAAAAAGTTTTTCTCACAGCTGGAAACCAGCTCAGGCTTGCAGGAAGCTTTTGGAGGGTTGATGTCTGGCATGGGGGTGTTCTCTTTCCTTGAATTCTAATTTACAGATTAAATCTCTGGTTTGAAAAATCTTTTCAGAATCCAGATATTTAATACAGAAGACCCTGATAGTGAAAGATATCTGGCTGGAAAAAAAATCCCTGAAATTCTGAGAATTCTGGTTGTGTCTCTGTCTGAATTTTATGTGTACTTCCTGCTGGCTGGGCTCCTTTATTTGTCCTTTCAATCTATCAGATCTTTTATAACTTTGAGTGTCACCTACAACACAACCACTCCTGTTTTACCTTAAATTTGTTCTTTCTTCCTTAAGGCTGAAAAAGATTCCAAAGAGGAGATTCTCAAAGCTTTCAAACTCTTTGATGATGATGAGACTGGAAAAATCTCTTTCCAAAACCTCAAACGTGTGGCCAAAGTGCTGGGGGAGAACCTCACTGATGAAGAGCTGCAGGTTTGGACCTGGTGCTTTTGGGGTCTTTGTGCTGGAGCTGGGAGGAAAATCCTCTCTGTGCTGGTAGGGAGGAATTCCTGGAATCTGTGGGTTTTGAGGTTGAGGATGGGTTGAGCCCACATGGATGTAGGATTGGGATCATCCACTGCAGTTCTGTGCAGTAGCAGTGATGTGAAAGGAATGACTCTGCTCCAAGCACTTGGTTTCCCCCAGGACTTTCCCTATAATATTTCCTGCTCAGATTTCTCTATAAATACACCCAGCAAAACAGATTTCAGGAAATATTTTATCTGAGCTTGAGCCAACACTGTCCCCTCCAGCACAACTAGAGTGGCTGGAATTCTGCATGAATCCAGTGATTCCCAAGAGGCCCCAGACCTGAGTGCTGACCCCAAATCTCTTGCAGGAGATGATTGATGAGGCAGATCGGGATGGGGACGGGCAAGTGAGCGAGCAGGAGTTCCTGAGGATCATGAGGAAGACCGGCCTGTACTGAGCCCAGTGGGATTTATTCCTTGGCACTTGTGTACATCCCTTAGGGAATGGGAGCCTCACTTTTGTGGTGTCTTGATTTCTTTGGAGGCAGCAGAAATACAGGTCAGTTCTCTTGGAAGTGTTTTGTGTAGAATATTTTTACGTTTTAAAGGTGTTTGGGAGCAGTTTGCACCGCTCTGTTTACAGGCAGCAATGTGGTTGCTGGTTATAATGTTTACACTGCTTTAAATACACAAATCACATTTTTGGGACCAAATTCAGATCCTTTTCTGACTAAAAAAATGGGTCCAAACAATTCAGTTTGGTAAAGAGATGACTCAGAACCAGACAGTGTCAATCTATTGCTCATTGTAAATCTACTTTGGGTTTATGTCTTGGTTTGGGCCCTACAGTGAACTCTTTTTATGACATATTTTCAGGAACCACCTTTTTAGAACCTGTTTTATGGGATTATCCCTTCCCTCCCTTTTCTAGGGCATTCTTTAAACTCAAAATAAAAATAAACTGCTGCAATTTACCTTGTGTTCAGTTCATATGGCTAAGGAAAACTTTACAGAAGGAAATTCCCAGTGCTGCTGCTGAGGGCTCTGTGCTTGCAGGAATGCTCAGAGGCTGCAGATGGGATTGGATTTCAAATAAAATCTTATTTTTAAGCCATCAGAGTTGTGGAAAGAGTTTTGATCTCCACTTTGCCAAAAAAAAGGTGTGGCCAGGCTGGAGAGGATCCAGAGGCCACAATGATCCAAAGCCTGGGAAGTTCCCATGTGAGGACAGGCTGAGAGAGCTGAGCCTTGGAAGAACTGGGATTTAGGGGACATCTTGTCACCATGTTTGGTATTTGAAGGGTGGCTACAAAGGAGAAGGAAACTCCCTTTTTATGAGGAATCATGGAAAGGACAAGGGATAATCTGTACAGGACAGTCCTGGGCAAATTCTGAATGGGCACCATGGGACAATTTCTGACCATGAGGAAGTCAGCTGTTGGAAGTGGTGGATTCCCTGAGTTTGGGATCCATCAGGACAGGCTGCTGGACATCTTCTCTAGACAGCATTTTTACCAAGAAAGGTTGGACCAGGTGAGCCCTGAGATCCTTCCAACCTGGAATTCTCTGGTCCTGTTAATGCAGGAGAAGAATTTCACCTCTTCCCACCAGAGCTGGCTGGTGACATGGGGCTGGTCCTGCTCTCACCAGTGTCACATTCCTGCTCCCGTCTGGCTTCTGACAAATCCCAGCAAAACAAGGGGGGGCTGGTGCTGGGGATTTCTTCCTGTATCATTCCCTCAACTGACCCAGAGCTTGTCCTGATCCCGAGGGAAAGGCAGAGACAGAAGCAGAGTTCAGAATTCAGTAGAAGCATCAGGTTTTATTTGGTAGCAGAGTTGGGTTCCTTCCTTTGGCCACAATTCAGTGCTCTGAGGGAGGGGTTGGGGAGCAGCTGACCCTGAGCCCTGGGGGAGCCTGTGGCAGGGATAGGTGGGATTTTGGGATGGAATTCCTCCCTGTGAGGGTGGGCAGGCCCTGGCACAGGGTGCCCAGAGAAGCTGTGGCTGCCCCTGGATCCCTGGAAGTGTCCAAGGGCAGCTTGGAGCAGCCTGGGACAGTGGAAGGGGTCCCTGCCCATGGCAGGAGCCTGGCACAAGATGAGCTTTAAGGTCCCTCCCAAGCCCCCCATCCCACAGCAGCTCCAGCTCCTGGCAGGGAGTGACATGTCCATGGCAGAACACACCACCTCCAGGATTGTCCCTCCTCAGCTGCCCCCAGAGCTCTGGGGCAGAGCCCCTGAGTGTCCCTGTAGCTGGTGCTGTGTGAGGGGCAGGGCAGGCTCCCTGGGGAGGAGCTGGGTGCCTGTGGGAGCTCAGGCCAGGCGCAGCACTTCCCTGACCATGCTGCCGATGCCGTCGTGCACCTGGTGGATGGGGGCGTTGCACATGAAGGCGCTGGTGCTCACCAGGAGGTTCCTGGTGTCCACATGGGCCTCGGTGACCTGGCTGTTGATGTGCCTGCAGCCCAGCTCCTTCATGGCCTCAGCAGTCTTGGCATAAGGCCACCTGCAAGGGAACAGGGAAGGGAAACCTGGAGTGGGGTGTAGGAGCATCGGGGGGTAGCAGGGTCAGGATGGATGGAGATGAGAGATCTCTGAAGCCAGGTCTGGAACTTGGGGTTCATTGCAAAGGGCCTAGGGGCAGGGCCCTGCTGGGAGCTGCCAGGCACAGCTCAGAGCAGGACTGAGAGAAGAGAGGGGGAGAGAGGATAAGAGGGTAAGAGGGTAAAAGGGTAAGAGAGTGAAGTTCCCATTACAATACAATAAATCTTCTGTGTTGAATATTCTGATTCTCACTAACCAATCTAGTACAAGATACAAATCCTATAGCATTTATATACAGCCTATAAGAATCACTACATTCCCATACTGTGTTACATTTTAAACCCTAAAAACTCCTCTTTGGGCCCCTTCTGCCAAGCTGGCAGGGTCTGCTCTGCCCGTTGGGCCTGTCTGCAAGCAGAGGGTGTTGTTCCATCAAAAGGGGATCACCTTCAGCTGGCCACACCATTGTTTTCTAGTTGTTCAGTAACTGAGGTATCTCAAAGCTTGCTTTTATTTCAATCTCACTTAAAGTTTCTATATTCTCAAAATCTTTTTTTAGACAATCATATTTATAAGGCTTTCCTGTTTCCTCTTCCCCAACAGTGGGGAATCTCCTTTATTGCAAATCAAAGGCAACTCTGACGAAGGGGAGAGAGAATGATACATCTGACTCCATCATCAGAAGGCTAATGAATTAATTTATTATACTATACTATGTACATTTCATCTAAATTGAATCTGCCCTGCACTCACTCTTGCTCACTCTCATCTGCCCTCATCTCTGATTCTCTCGTGACTGTCCCGTGACAGTCCCACACACACACACACACACACACCTGGCCCTGATAGGCCAAGGGAACAAAACCTCCTCACTTTGGGTAAACAATCTCCACATTGCATTCTCCTATAGCACAACACAGGCACAGCAAGCAAGATAAGAATTGTGTTTTCCTTCTTTGCTTGTCTCACAGCTTCTCTCTGTTCAGAGGGTATGTGAATACCACACTCCTCCACGCTGTGCTTGGGGAAGGGCCAGAGGGAAGATTCTGTGGTCACTGCATAAAACCTGCTCAGCAGGATCCAAATCTGCTTGAGGAGTTTCTCCAGGACTATACAACAGGATAACCTCCTGTTCAAATGAGTTAAACATCTGAAGTAAAGCCAAAATGAGACCTGAAGTTCCACTTTGGATGTTCCACTACCTAATTCTGCCCACTCCAGTGCTCATGTTAATAGGGGCCTGGGAAGATTTGGGTGAAAAGGGACCTCAAAGCCCACCCATTGCCACCCCTGCCATGCCCAGGGACACCTCCCACTGTCCCAGGCTGCTCCATGCTCTGTCCAGCCTGGCCTTGGACACTGCTAGGGATGGAGCAGCCACAGCTTCCCTGGGCAACAATTAGATTTAGGTTTAGGGTAGGTTTTTTCCAGCAGCTTCCTCCAAGTTAGTGAGAAAACTCCTTCCTAGCAAATCCTATCAACATTCCTTGCCTGCCCTTGGGAGAATCCAGTCAGCTGGATTCCCTGCAGGACTGAACCAGTTTCACTCTCTTCTCTTCCCACCTCAAGCCTTGGGTAACCATCCTGTTCCTGCCTTGGATCTGCTTAGCTTGGAGTCAGCAAAGGCTTTTCCTACCCTGGCTCTGTGAGGCATCAGGGAGGTAAATAAGTAATTTAAAATAATAAATTACATTTAAATTAATTTAAAATAAAGTGTCTTATTCAAAGCCATCAGAGTTGTGGAAACAAGTCACAAAAATGCAAACAGATCAGGTGTTACATCATTCCTTCTGCTGTGCTGAGAAATGATAAAATTCCAGAGTTTCTACTTTTCCCTGTTCAGTCCCCAAAAGGGCTGGAAGTGCTGAAAGCCTCACTGAGGCAGCAGAGCTGAGTTCTCAGCAATAGCATTCAGCTCCTTGTGAGCTTCCAGCAGCTGGCCAGGATCCCTGGGGACTTTGGGGGACCCTGGTGTGAGTGTCACCAAGCCCCCGGTCACTCACTGCTCACACTCCGTGTCGTGTCCCACGGTGACCTCACAGCCCGGGAAGATTTTGGCTGCCAGCACTGGGGAGATGCAGCACAGCCCAATGGGTTTGTGGGCAGCGTGGAATGCCCTCAGGACAGCCTCCACCTCTTTGGAGACACTGCAGTTCTTGCCCTGCGTGGCCCAAGTGCTCAGGTTTTTTGCCACCCCGAAGCCACCTGAAGAAAGAGAAACAGTTTAGCTGGAGATTATATCCAGGGCAGGATTTTTGCCAGGTGTGGCGTGGTGGAATGCTCAGGTGGATGGGGTGGTTGGCAGCATTTGTCTAGTGTCACACACATCTTTTATGAAAAATCTTTTCCTTAGGATTTTTTCTCCTGAGAAGCTGAGAAGCCTCAGGCACAAAATGTAACCAATGGTTATCTGCTGCTGTGGAATGCAGCATGGGGAATCTGTGACCGTGTTCACAGGGGTCTGAGGATGAGGGAAGAGATGAGGATCTGACTCCATGTTTCAGAAGGCTTGATTTATTATTTTATGATATATATCATATTAAAACTATACTAAAAGAATAGAAGAAAGGATTTCATCAGAAGGCTAGCTAAGAATAGAATAGGAAAGAATGATAACAAAGGCTTGTGTCTTGGACAGAGAATCTGATCCAGCTGACTGTGATTGGCCATTAATTAGAAACAACCACATGAGCCCAATCCCAGATGCACCTGTTGCATTCCACAGCAGCAGATAACCATTGGTTACATTTTGTTCCTGAGGCCTCTCAGCTTCTCAGGAGAAAAAAATCCTAAGGAAAGGATTTTTCATGAAAGATGTCTGTGACAGTCCAGAATCAAGAAAAGAACTAAAATTGGCTCTCCTTCCAAGCCCTGCTCCAGCCTGTCCCTCTTCACCCCACATCTCCCACGCCCTTCCAGACCTATGGAATGTGTAAGCTGTGGACAGGCAGACCCCAGACAGTCCTACCTGGGATGATGAGGGCATCCAGCCCCTTGACATCCAGCGTAGCCAGGTCCTTGATGTTGCCTCTGGCTATCCTGGCACTTTCCACCAGGACATTGCGCTGCTCCGCGGTGGGCTGCCCCTTCACGTGGTCCACCACGTGCATCTGGGGGATGTTGGGAGCATAAACCTCAGCCTGGAGTGAGGGGAGAGGGTGTTATCCTTCAGAAACGATGGGGAAACGTGGAAAAGCACAGGCAGTGAGTGGGAATGCTGAGGGGCTTTCTTGGGAAAGAGCTGGCATGGAGGAAGGAGGGAAGGGAGGAAGGAAACTTTCAGTGGTTTGTGCCCAGAACTGCTAGTCTGGGGGGCTGAAGAGTCCATCCATATCCCAATAAATCCCTCTTGCAGGGTGATCACCCAGAGAGCTGCTGTCCCACCCCATCTCCCACAGGACTTGGAGTTTCCTCTCCCTACCAACTTGCCCAAAGCCAGAGTGTTTTTCTGGAAAATGCTTTCCCTTCCTTTAGCACTTTCAAGCTCATATGCAGAAATTAAGAGTGGAGGGTGGTGAAGATTTTGGGACTGTCCCACCTGTGCAGCTCTGGGGCCCACAATTTAAGCAGGATTTAAGGAACACCTGGAAGGAAGGAATGTCCTGTGAGGAGCAGCCGAGGACTTTGGAATTATCTAGGTGGGAGACAAAGAAGCTGAGAGGCAACCTCATGGCAGCTTCCCGTGGAGAGGGAGGTACTGAGCCCTGCTCCCTTGCAGCTGAAATATTCCATTCTACGCTGACCTTAGAAAAGGAGCGATTGAAATGACGCCCGAGTTTTCTCCACTAGAGGCCCCTGGCGATCCAGGGATGAGGGACGGAGGGAGGGAGGGACGGGCTCCGAGCCTGCTGGGCTGGGATATGGCAGGAGGGAAGGACTGCACCCGCTCCAGGAGAGGAATAGGCAAAATTACACGGAGTGGAGAAAACGTCTGGCCAAGTCTCATCCTGGAGCCAACAGCGAGGGCAAGGTTGGAATGGTTTGGGACTGGGGGGGGCTGGCACGGGAAGGTCACCCCTGTGCCTCTGTGTTCCACACAGCAATTCCCATTCCCAGGGGAACGGCTCCGACCAGACCCGTGGGTGGTTCACAGCTGAGTGAGATGTTCCAGAGGCTTTCCTTCCCTCCTTCCCCAGTCTCACGGAGCGGCTCTCCAGACTTCCAGAGCAGCTGCACCTTTTTTACCACTCAGGCTTAACTCACGAACCCCTGTCTGTTCTCTCATCCCTGTAAGTGTCCCAGCCCAGGCTGGACAGGCTTTGGAGTACCCTGGGATAGTGGAAGGTGTCCGTGCCCATGGCAGGAGATGAGAATGGATGAGCTTCAAAGTTCTTCCCAACCCAAACCATTCTGGGATTCTCTGATTCTATTTTCACTTCTACTCTTTGAATGTTTTAAAAATATGGATTTCAAACAGCCCAAACTGTCTTTTAAACAGAAGTAGCAGGAGAGAAAAGAGGATGTGAAGCCAGAAGCAAAGAGAGAAGGCATTCAGGAAAGTCTGTTGGGGATTTGGATGCAGAGCCCCACACCAATCCCTGTGTACAGCACAGCTGAGCAGGGAGCTCTCCACACCACTCCCAGTGACTGCAGGCACCGCTGCTGCTTGGTTTTTGGGGAGCTTGTGTCAGAGACAAGGAGGGAAGAGGATGAGGAGCAGAGCCGGGACAAGGAGCCCGGGCAGGACCCTGCCGGTGCCTCTTACCTGAGCCCCCTCCCGGCTGAGATGCACCAGCACCGCGGACGCCTCGTGGATCTCGCTGCCGTCGAACACCCCGCAGCCAGCCAGCACCACGGCCACCCGCTTGGCCATGGTGGCCCTGGAGCAGCGGAGTCCCCGGAGAGCCCCGGCCGCTGTGAGCGCCGCTCACTGCCCCAGCCCTTTATAGCGCCAGCCCTCCCCAGGAGCAGGTGGGGCCTCGAGGGCTGGGCTCAGTTTCTTACTGGCAGGGAGGTTTTATTTCCAGTCCCACAGGCAGGGCATATAAATATTATTTGTTTCCTCAACTGGCTGCTCCCTTACAGATCTTCCTCCCAGCACGTTGTCTGCAGAGCAGCCCCAGCTGACATGCCCTGCTCAACAGAGCAGCTGTGTTTTTCCTCCTCGGCTGTTGATTTTCCATTCTAGTTCAGTCTGAAGCACCAAAACCTTTGCACAGGAGATGGTATCAAAGGGAGCCAGGATTTCAGCCAGTGCATTCCCCTCTCTGACCCATTCTTTGAACCCTGCACTGCATAGGCTGCTTCAGACTTTTAACACCAACATTTGCTTTTTGGATCCTGAATGTTCCTTCCCTCAGATCCCATCTCTCAGAAGTGGATATTTTACACTTTGCTGCAGTTGTTTGCTGGCTTTTGCACTGTGAGTTTAGTAATTAATGAAGTTGTAGAGTTGGAAGGGACCTCACAATGTCCAACTCCTGGCCCTGCATGGGCACCCCAACAATCCCACCCTGTGCCTGAGAGCATTGTCTAAGCACTTCTTCATCTCTGGAATAATGGGATTCTTCATCAACAGCACCATCTCTCCATTTATTTAATTCCAGGGAGGTGGCACTGGGAATTGGAGGAGCCCTGAGCTCTGGAGGGGTCCCTGGAGCTGAATTCAGTGTCTAGAGCTCATTCGTTCCACCCTGGCTCTGCTCTCATGGAGATGATCCTGTACCTGCCTATTTCAGCCTGGCCCTGGTGAAATAACTGTGCCCTGTGGAGGCTGAGAGAATAAAAAACTCCCACAACATGGCTGCAGGGTGTTTTTCAGGGGTTATTTATAAGACATGTTCCTTGGGGCTCTGCCATTTCTGGGAGAGACATGAAGCACATCATGTGGGTAATGAACTCGTGGCTTGGCAAGGTGTTCAGTCAGGGCAGGCCTGAGGAGGAGGCTCACTGCTGCTGCTTGGGACTTCATTTATGGCATGTTTCTCCCAAAATGAGGCATTTCAGGCACCCAGCTGCTACCTGAAGGAACAAGCAGGAACAAGAAATGTGTGACAGAGGCCTTGCAGTCCCACTAACCCAACCCAGACTGTGCCTCTCAGTTACATTTATTGCCCAGACCAGGAATTAAATTGAGATATGCATAAAAAACACCCAAAGCCTTTCCCCTGTTTTTGTTTTGCTATCTAAGGAATCCTAACTATGGTTTAAGGGTATATTATTTCCTCTTGCATGGAAAAACAACCGAGTGATGTTGCAACCTGAACAGGTAAATTCTCCTTCCTGCAGCTGCTTCAGGAGCAGTCCTGCTAGCCATGGAACAAAGGTAGCCAGAGGCTGAGGATTCCCACAGCCTGCCTGCTGCAAACCACATCAGTCACCCCTGCCTGGTGTAAACTGGCTGGGCTGGTTCCCCTCACGGGGGGAATTGGTGCAACTGGACCAGCCAGGCTTGTTTCCTCCCCTTGGGAAAACATCTGTCACAACAGACATGTCAGCCCTTAATATCTCTCTGCAAGGGAGAGATGAATGATAAATGACATTTCTCAGCTGGGTTATTCCAGCCTGGATGGCCTTGTCTGTACACATTTGTTGTGGGCTTTGGTAATAACAAGTGGCTTTAATCTGCATTAAGGTTCTAGTGAGGAGGGGTGGGAAGGGACCCTCTTTGTGCAGGGTGAGCACAGTTAGAGATGCCAGGAAAGTTTGGGAGCAGTGAAGGGGATCCAGCTGGATCCAGCTGCCATTGTGCTGCAGCTGGCTCAGGGCAGGAGGAGCAGGGGCCTGATGAGCAGAGGGCCTGATGCTCTGGGGTTCTTCGGGATGATGTCCCAGCTCCAGCACCCCTTGGATGATCCCACAGGCCTGACTGTGAGCTCAGTCAGTGCAGCTCCCAGCCCATTCCCAGCAGCTTTCCTGTCCTCCTGCCCTGGCTGTGGAACAGGATTTATGGGAAATCATAATTCTGCTGAGGGGAGCATCAGAGGAGCTCTGCAGAGCCATCCCTGGGCAGCCCAAGAGTATCAGTGCAAAGCTCTGCATGCTGTTCTGCACTTTTTACCTTGTCAGGAGAGTGGGATTTGCTTTAACTGGAGCTGAGTCCCCCAAGGGAGCAGTCCCTACACTGCTCCATCCCCACAAACAACACAACAGAGGAACCAAGCTCTGTCAGCTCTCACAGAATATGACAATCCCCACCTGAGCCATGACTTGACATGATCCCCAGGCCAGTGCTTTCTGCAGCCTTCCCTCCATCCATAAACACCTTTGTGCCCTGACCACGCATTCCCCATGAGGAGCAGCAGAAAGCTTCCCACAGGTCCTTCATGTCCCCTTTGGGACACAATCCTGGCAGTGTTGGACACTCACTCCTGACCTGGAAAGCCAGCGAGGCTCCCCATGGCTGGAGGAGCTGGATGTGGAGTGGCAGACGGACAGAAGTCACCTTTAAGGGAATGGCACTGAGTCTGCCCTGGGTTTGCCCAGCTCAGGGGGCTGGTGCCAGGCATTCAGAGCTGAGACAGGGACAAACAGCAGGCCCGTGGCCAGTGTGAGGAGAAACAAGTGGTCCCCAAGGAGCTGCTGGGCTTGCAGAGGGCTTGTTTGCTTCATCAAGGTGGATGCTTGCAACAACCTTCATTTTAACCAGTGTAATTTCCTCACTGGCAGGAGCAAAAAAAAGGTAGCAACAGCAATAAACTCTCAGCCTTATTTTTCAAGTGTCTTTTTGAACAAGGGTTAATCAACAGTAAAATTAAGAGGCCCCTGGAGGGAGCTACCAGCAGCCCACGCTGACTCACAGCCCCAAATTTACTGCAGCCAGAACTTCGTTTGCATTTCCTCCCGCTTGCAGAGAGGAGCAGGAACAGAAGAGGTTTGTAGGGAAAAGGGGTGGAGAGCAGGGAGGACCGGCGGCAGCGGCGATGGTTTGGTTATAAAGAGCATGGGAGGAAAGAGAGGCAGCAGTGCAGCCCTCGGCCGGGGCTGCGGCGCGCAGGGATGGGCGACAGCGGGGCTGAGTCACTGCATTCCTGCATCGGGCTCCTGGGCATTTCCGCAGGTAGGGACCGCTCCTGGCATCCTGGCACGGGACACGGGCTTGGGACGAGCTTTCCGGGACACCCTCCTTTTCCGAGGGGGCTAAGGAGGCTGTTTATCCTCAGGCTTCTCTGCCTGGGGTGAGCTTTTCTATCCAGAGATCTCTGCGCCTGCTTTGGCGGCCAACAAAATATTTGTGTTGGCTTCCACGGGCTGGCCTGAAGTTTTGTACTCGTTCCACGCTGGGTGGGAAGCAAATCCAAACTTTTTTATAGTCACTGTAGTAAATCATCTCGGTTTGGATGCAGTTTCCTCCCCTTTCCTTTTCCAGCCCTGCTCCCCATGGCTCTGTTTTCTGTGTTCACTCCCTTTCACTTGCTCCTCCTTTGTGTTCCATCTTCCTGGATTTTTTCAGCTGGTTTTCCTTCAGTACAAGGCTGGAGGGATCAGCTGCAGGGTGTGTTGTCTGTCTGCTTTTTGTATAACTGGAATAATGGATTTTTACCTTTACCTGGCAACAGGGGAGCACTTTCAGACTCTTTCATACATTCCCAGGATGGCTTGGGTTGGAAGGGACCTTAAAGATGATCCAGTTCCATCCCCTGCCATGGGCAGGGACACCTTCCCCTCGACCAAACTGCTCCAAGCCCCAGTATCCAACCTGACCTTGATGGGATGGGGCACCACAACCTCTCTGGGCACCCTCAAGTGACTAATTCCAAACTTTTTTAAACCAGGCACCCAGAAAGAAGTGAGACCTTGGGCACAAACCGAGTCACAGTCCCCCAGCTCCTTAGGCTTTCCTATTTGCAGATCTTGCACTGTTATTTTCCCTCTGTTCCCTGCTCTGTCTGCCCTGATTCTCCCCTGGTTTTGGGCCAGGTTTACAGGCTCTGTGTGTTTCCCCCGTGTCCCACAGGCTCTCTCCTGCTGGCCGTGCATTTCTACAGCTCCGCGCGAGCGGCCCCGCTGATCCCCAGCACGGCTCTGGGGGTCCTGCTGCTGCTTGTGTCGGCTCTCCTGGCCTATGCAGGTAAGACCTGGGGCTGGCCAGCCCCAAACCTCCCTCCCACAGCTGTGCACATCCAGCTCTGCTCTGCCCACAGGATACAAACCATGGCAGCCTTGCTGGGCCAGTCATCCCTGCTTCCAGAGGAGTGTGTTGTCCAGAGCAGCTGTGGCTGCCCCTGGATCCCTGGAAGTGTCCAAGGCCAGGCTGGATGAGGCTTGGAGGGACCCTGGGATGGTGGAAGGTGTCCTTGCCCATGGCAGGGGGGGATGAGCTTTGAGGTCTCTCCCAACTCAAGCCATTCAATGGCTCTGTGTCAGCGCAGCAAATTTTCCCTCTATAGGCAGGAGAAGAAATCAATGTTTGTTTTAAACAAATGCTCTACCAGGAACTTGGAGTTTTAACACATTTCTGAGATATTCATCATCATTTCTGAGAGTGCTTTCAGCATGCATGGATTGAAATGTCCATGGGTAAATGCCTCTACTTACCTGAGAGAAGAAAATCACTGCCTAGGACAAAACCCACACTTTCTAGAATGAATGTTGAATTATTTATTCTTTGTAACTCATAGCAGCATAAAATCACAGAATCATCAAATCACAGAATTGTTCAGGTTGGAAAAGACCTTGAAGATTGTCAAATCCAGCCATCAGCCAGCACCACCACCATGGTCACCACTAAGCCATGTCCTCAAGTGCCACATCCGTGTGTCTTTAAACACTTCCAGGGATGGGGAGTCCACCACTGCCCTGGGCAGCTGTGCCAAGGCTGGGACAACTTTTTCCAGCAGAAATTTTCCCTGATACTCAATCTAAACCTCCCCTGGCATTACTTGAGGCCATTTCCTCTTGTCCTGACTCTTGTTTCCTGGGAGAAGAGCCTGACCCCTCACTACAAACTCCTTCCAGGTAGTTGTAGAGTGGGATAAGGTCCCCCTGAGCATCCTTTTCTCCAGGACAAATCCATCATCAGGCAGGGCCTGTGCTGATCCTTGCCCCATAGTGATCCTGCTCCCCGCCTTTCCTAACCCCTGCTTCCCACACCCTGTCCAAAACCACAGCCCTGTCTCCGTTTGCTCCGCAGGGATCCGGAGGAGCCTCAGGAACGCCTCGCTGCTGGTGGCGCTGTGCCTGACCCTGTCAGCCCTCTGGAGTGGCTATGGAGTGATCCTCATCCTGGCAGGGCAGGGAGCACTGCCCGGCCCGGGGGATGCCCGCGATGCCCTGGTGCCAGGCCTGGCCACCTTCACCCTGGCCCTGCTCCTGCTGGCTGTGGTGGGCCTCCTGTGTGGGGAGCCCCTGCTGGGCCTGGTGGCCGCTGCTGTGTCCCTGGCCAGTGCCCACGAGGTGGCCCTGCACTGCAGCTCCTCGCTCGGGCCCTCGGCCGTGGCCTGCGGTCACCTCAGCGTCTGCTTGGTCGGGGGCTACTTTGCCCTGGGGAGGATCCTCCGCCTCCTGACCAAAGGGAGCCTTGCCCTCCCTGGCACGGATCTCTCCGAGAGGAAGGCCCAGGAGCAGGGCCGGGGCAGCGCTGGCAGCACCAACCCCTTTGCAGCCCCCGGGCTGCTCCTGAACATGCTGTCAGCCAGTGTCTTCTGCTGCAGGCTCCTGGGGGTCACCCACAGACTCTTCCTGGGCCATGTGCCCTGGCTGTGGGCAGCTGGCACCTACCAGATTGGCATCTGTGTGCTGTCCTACCGTGCAATGGACGCTCTCATGGCCACGGCCTTTGGCTTCACTTCCATCCTCAAATTCGCTGCAGGTTACTGCCTCCTGTACCCCGCCTGGCAGCCAGAGGAGCCGTCTCTCCCAACCCCATTCCTGGTGGTTTTCTCCATCCTTTTTGCTGTCTTGGCTCTTTTTCTCTCCCTTCAGAGCCCTGTGGATGGTCTGTACTTGCTGGTTTTTGTCACCTACTGCATTGCCTTGGCTTGCAGCCCCAGGGGTTTTTTTGCAGGTGGCCCCCAAGGTGTGGCTGTGGCCATCTTTGTGTCCTCGGCCTTGGTGGCTCTGATTCACCTGTACAATGTGAGGGCCAGGGCCAAGATCCCAACAGGGAAGGGTGCTGTGAAGGCCCTCCTTGCTCGCAGCAGCCTCCTGAAGCTCCGGGAGGGGCCAGACCTTCATGACCCCTACCTGGGCTATTCCAAGTATGCTGATGCAGAAGTTCTTACCTATGCCTGCAGTGTCCTGGCTTCTTTTGCTCTTACAGCCTCAGGAGACCCCCAGGCTCCTCTTGCCACCGTGGTCATTCCATGGGTGGTGGTAGCTGGTGGGGTCCTGAAGCTGCTTGGTGGCTCAGTGGCCTTTGCTCGGGGTAAAACCCTGGAGAGCAGTGCCTTCATCCTCTACTCTGTCATGTGGATCATCTGGGGCCTGACAAGGTACAGTGGCCTCTGTGGCACTGCCAGAAGCTTCCACGCATCCACGGGCATAATTTCCTTCATGCTCTTCAACTGCTTCATTGTCTTCTGCTCAGTCTTCTTAAACATGGCCTGGTTCTTCTACTCCCTCACGTTCATGCTCATCGCTGTCAGCTTCCTGCTGGATGCCATCCATGCTCTTCCCACTGGATACGACATTGCTGCCACCCTCATCTTTGGGTTGGTCAGCTTTTACTGCTTCCTCGCTGCCCTGGCCAGCAGCACCTTTGAGGGTTGCTGCTTGCCCATGGGGAGGCCCATGGTGCAGCTCAGTGGTGTCGGGGCAGGAACGACCAAGTGCCTTCACCTGCCTGCCAGGAAAGCTTCCTCAGTCAAGAGAATTGCAGGTAAGGGGAAAACAGAGGGCAGGATGTGGGGATGGAGGGGAAATTCTGGGAGGTTTTGTAGCCGAACACTCTTAGAAGAACATTATCCCAATCAGAGAATCACAGAATGGTTTGAGTGGAAAGGACCTTAAAGCCCACCTTGTTCCATGGGCAGGGACACCTTCTACTAGACCAGGTTGCTCCAAACCCCATCCAACCTGGCCTTGATGTGGAAACCTGGATGATGTGGTGATGTTTTGATAAAGTGGGCCAAGTTACAGGAGTCATGAGCTGAGTAGGGCAGCGTGTCTCCTGCTGTGTCTCCTGCATCATTTCCCTGTGTCCTCATCTGCTCTGAGACCCAGGAATCCTCCAGGCTGAGGCTATCACCCAAAGCTTTGCACAGAGAGAGCAGAGCCAATGCTTGGTCCTTGCTCTTTCCACTCTGGCCCAGAATTCCCCTAAATGCCAGATATCCCCTTGGGAAAATGCACTGCCAGAGCTGGGGAGAGGAGAGGAGAGGAGAGGAGAGGAGAGGAGAGGAGAGGAGAGGAGAGGAGAGGAGAGGAGAGGAGAGGAGAGGAGAGGAGAGGAGAGGAGAGGAGAGGAGAGGAGAGGAGAGGAGAGGAGAGGAGAGGAGAGGAGAGGAGAGGAGAGGAGAGGAGAGGAGAGGAGAGGAGAGGAGAGGAGAGGAGACTGTGTGGCAGTTCTGCCATGGAAATTACACCCCTGCCCTGTCACTCAAGGCTCATGCCCTGTTCCCATGCCCACAGATATCCTGAGGAATGGTGGCACCTGTGGCATCCCCACGGACACCGTGTACGTGCTGGTGGCTGCCTGCAGCCGGCCTGACGCTGTGGAGAAAGCTCACCGGTGAGTGCTGGCACCTGGGCTGGCCTCAGGAACCTTCCAGAACCCAGAGCTGCTGCTGAGTGCTGGCTGCAGCACCCACTGAGAGCAAGGCAGCTCAGCCTCGGTGGGAACAGCAAGGGAGGGAGAAGATCCAGGTGAGGAAAGGAAGGAATTGAGCTGTGGTTGTGTTCTGGGACACTGAAGGCTGATGGAGCTGGGTAACTTGGACACCACAAGAAAACCAAACCACTTCTGGCAAATGGGGCAGGGCTAATTGTTCTTACTTGGAGGTATGTGTTGCCACAACAAAACCCCTCTGGTGTAAACTGGAGCCTCTCATATGGGTGGGGTTTCCTCAGAATTTGGGCTGTTGGGACCTTTACCCATCACTACACAAGAAGTTAAAGCCTTGATTTGGAAATAGACATTCCTGATTGGGAGTAGCCATTAAAGTTCCTTCCCATACAGTCTGTGGTTGAACAGTCCTACTTCTTCTCCAGACTGGTGACCTGGGGCAGAGCCTGCACACCTTCTCTTAGGTCTAGACCTCTCCAGCAGTTTCTTTTCCTTGAATTTAAATCCTCATCTTACTTCCAGCCTCACCTTTTCTTCCCTCGTTCCAGGTCCAAGCGCCAGGCTCAGGATCGCCCCATGTCCCTCTGGATTTCCAGCCTAAAGCAGCTGGAACCTGCCAAGCACTTGTTCACTCCCCTCCTCTGGGACTTCATGGAGGCTGCCTGGCCATCTCCCATTAGCTTGGTCATTCCCAGAGGTGAGGAAATGCTGTTAATTCCAAGCTCTCTGGAGAGCTTTGGGTTTGAAATTCCCAAACCTGTGAACCCCTGCAACACCACATGTTCCATAGGGATATTCCCGTTACAATGATCATGTTTGGGCTGATGTAAACCTCCAAGTGCTGAGTGACTCTGCTTGGTGCAGGTGAATGGGTGGATTTCCTGGGAATGAAGGACTCTGCTAAGTACGTTGGGACCCCTCAGAGTGTGGCCATCCGCATTCCCGACTGCTCTGTCACCACACACCTGATCGACCTGGTGAGTCACAACACCTCAGCCCCGGTGACCTGAGCCCTTCTCTGAGAAGGGCTGGGGCCTGCAGGCAGCTGGGAAGGATCTTATGGCAGCAAAGAGGGGAATAGGAGCTACCACCAGGTCAAGAAATCAGGAGAATACCCTTAACAGACACAGTTTAATTTCCAACATTGAACACTGTTGAAAGCAGGGACTTCTCAGGCTGGAATAACTTCAGAAGGTGCAGAAGGTGGCCACAGGAGCTGTGATACCCTGAGTGTTCTAGGTCTAGGCAAGTGCTATTGCTGGAAAACAAGATGTCATTTCATGGCCATCATCACTAAACCCAAATTTGTCAGTGCTGGTCACTCTAACGCAGTTTGTTGGGACTCTGGTTGCCTGCAAAAAAGGTGCCTCACCTGTGTGAGCCACACTGAGCTCTCTTCAGAGTTACAGATGAAGTTCAGAGCTCAAGGCACCTGTTTTATCCCCAAAGTCTTGCTCAGAGCTTTGACTCCCGTTCTTCTGTCACCAGGTTGGCCCCATTGTGGTCACATCAGCCAACCCAACAGGAGAGGCTGACACGACCCACCACAACCAAGTGTATGCCAAGCTGGGAGATAAGGTAACCAAGAGATGGGGATGGAAAAGTGCAACCACTTTGTTTCCAGAAGGCAAATCAGTAGCTGGTATCAGGAATCTGGGAAAGCCTCTAACTTAAAAAATCTCATGGATGCTCCTCATGCTGGTGTCAAAGAGAAATAAGAGTTTAAAGCACAGGTCTTGGTGTGAAACCAAAACTCTTCTGCTTTACACACTGTAGTTATGGCTTGGCAACGTGAGTGGGTTCATATTCCAGCATGGGATAATGGGAGCAATAAAAAAATCATTCTTGCTTACAGGCAAGCAAGTCCTGGTGCCTGGATGTGCCAGGGCTCCAGCTGGCATTGGGCTGGGGCTGGTCTAAAACTGGTGCCAAGCTCCAAAATATTGCTGGCACTTAGAGCTTTCATGGAAGTGCCATGGTCATGGCCTTTCATTGTTTAGGTGGGAGATCAGGAAAGGTTCTTCCCCCAGAGGGTGCTGGCACTGCCCAGGCTCCCCAGGGAGTGGACACAGCCCCGAGGCTGCCAGAGCTCCAGGAGCCTTTGGAAGGGTGGAATTGTTGGTGTGGAGGGCCAGGGGTTGGACTGATGGTACCTGTGGATCCTTTCAACTCTGGGTTTCACTGCTGAATTCTGGGGGGTTTACATTTTGTGTCATCGTGGCAGCTTTAAACAAGAGGTGGTGCAAATCTACCACCTCTAACTCCTCAAAAATCAAAACTTCATACACATTTTCTTTGTGGATGGGACTTCTCCAGAGCTCTTTGACTGCTGTAAACCTGCCTGTGCTGTGCTACTGACCTGCACCCCACAGAGCTCTCCCTTGTCCTTGCTTTGAGGTTCATTCACTCCAAATCTAGCACTGGTGTCACTGCAGCAGGGCAGGAAGGAGCAGCATTGCCTTTGATGAGAATTATTTACTGTTGGGAAGGAAAACTCTCCCTTTCCAAGGGGAATTTGGTGTGGAAATCTGCTGGTTTTAGGTGGATGCAGTTCTTTGTGCTGGGCCTTCTCCAGAGAACATTGCCTCCACCGTGGTGGACTGCACCAAGATTGACAGTGGGAGCATTGGATTCTTCCGAGTCGGCATCATCCCCAAGTCTCAGGTGAAATTCAGCTGGATTTCATTTCCATTCCCTTTCTCCCTTGAATGAGTTTCAGCCTGGGGCTTCCTAATTCAGTAAGGAGACCAAGAAGTCTGTGATAGCACAAGGAGTTATTCCAGGCTGGTGTGAGGGACAAGAGCAGAGCTCCATGCTTCTGTCCTGATCTTGCTCTGGAGCGCTGGAGCACTTCTGAGGAGCTGGGGAATGGGCAAGGTGGGGCTGATTCATCCATGGAAAAGGCTCTGAGATCCAAGGTCATGGACCTCTGTGGGGCAGGCTCTCCAAGTTCACCCATGCCAGAGACCTCTGAGTGCAAAAATGATTTGTGTCATCCCAAAACTGAGCCAGACACTTGAAAGAGAAGATCTTGTGGAAGGTGTCCTTGCCCCCCTTAAGGGTCACTTCCAACCCATTATTTTATGATTGTTTGATTATTTCAACAGCTGGAGAAGAAATCAGTGCTCTCCCCTAATTCCTAACCTACTCCCAGCTGTGTCTACTCATTCCAGGTGCTGCAAATCCTGGAGCAGGTGCAGAAGAAACACCTGGTGGTCCCTAGCAGTGGCCCTTGCCCCACAAAAGGCTGGGAAGAGCTCCAGAGTCGTGGCCATGCTGTGCCCAACGGGGTGGGCAGAGCTGCCTTGGTGGAGCCGGATCCCGATCCCGAGCATCACACCCGCTTCTGACTGCCACAGCTCCGTGCTCAGCGGGACAGCAGCTGCTGGAAAATGCCATTTCGGCCAAATTGGGCAATGGGAGAGGCTCCCCAGCTGCAGGGGTGCCTCATTCATCTTCCTATGGACCCTGCTCAAATATCCCAGTGCGGTGCTGCCTGGCAGACCCCAGGCACCCAGCAGGAACATCTTCCCTTGGGGACACTGCCAGCTTTCCCTGGAGATCAGCCATGGCCAAAGCAAGCTTTCCTTTGGTGATAGCTGGCCCAGAGTGACAGAGCTTCATCCCTGACACTGGGAGGGAATTCCATGGATTTGGGGCATGGAGTGAGGCCAAGGGGTGCAGAATTACCTGGTCGGGGAAAAACACTGCATGAAACTTGAATCACACAGAATCCTTTAGGTGGGAAAAGAGCTCTCCAGTCCTTGAGTCCAGCTCTCCCCCCAGCACTGCCAGTGCCCCCCTGACCCGTGTCCCCAAGTGCCACTCCACGTGGGGAAGGAGGAGGGGAGATGTGTCCAGGTGCTTTGCTGGTGGATCCAATGGACTTGGCAGAGTCTGGGCTGGGAGCTGGGGGTGTCTCCTGCTGTGTTCTCTTCAGAAGGGAAGTCACCCATGTTTGACCCCTCTTGGGAGGTCTTTCCTCTGTTGGGAGAACCCAACACTCCAAAGAAAAGCCATGACCTGAGGTGCCATTTCTGTATTTCACACTCGGTGTCAGGGTGGAATTCCCATCTGGATGACTCCAATATTATATCCTTAAAGGTGCTGGAGCTTTAGGGAAGACCCTCCCTTCCCATGTTAGGAATTTCAGGAGGGCAATCTCCATGTGTTTGAGAATGCCAGGAGCTGGTCTCTTGCCTTACAGCCCAACTCTTCCCATCTCACGGCACATTTCCTCCGGAGTGCAAATTCCATAGGATCAAAGGAAGGAATTCCAGCCACTCCAGGCAGTCATTTGTCTTCTCCAACTTCTCTGCAAGTTCCTGAAGTACAGGGAAGGAGTTGGAGATGTGCTCACCCATGACCTTACTGGCATCACTGGGACATGGTGGGATGGCTCCTGGAGTGCAGCAATGGGAGGATGTGGACTTTTTAGGAAAGACAGGCAGTGTGGAGAGGTGGCTGCTGAGCAGGAGGAGTTGGGAAGGAGTCTCAAACCTTCATGAGGAGTTTTCCTTGGCAAACACTGCAGTTATGGCTTGTTTCATCTCCAAAAACTGCTGGTCTTATTCTTACCTGACTCAGGTGCAAGGTGCTGATTAAACTCCAGCTGAAACCAATCCATTGATCATTGATTTCACCTGAAGCTGTGCTGGAATTTGAGGATTAAAGTGGTGCAGTTGAAGGAGATCAACCTCAATGAACTCTGGCAAAATGGGGTCTCCTCAACCTGTCCTCACAGAGCTGGCTCTCTTCCTGCAGAGAAAATTTCAGAGAATTAGGTGTGTTCAATAATTTTGCTGATCTACTTCCTGTATCTCCTTGGAGTTTATTAAAACTGATTTTTAGAAAGCAATAAAATATTTTCAATAAACAGATCTCACACAGGGCTGTGCAATCATGAAAAAACCTTGTGGGGCAAAGGGTTCTGGATGTTGATGTTCCTGGCCATGCAGGATCCAAGCAGGATGTCAGGAGGAAATCAAATTGTGACACCTCCAGGGTGGGGAAGAGGAGGGAGGGAGAAGATAACTCCTCACAGCAGCTCCTGGTACCAGCTCAGAAGTGCCAAGGCTGAATTTCACCCCTTAATCACTAGAAAAAGACCATAAACACCAAAATCTGAGGGAATGTGATAAGGAATGGAAATTTGGAGAGGTGCTGAAACATCACAAAGCCTTTTGGTGAGGGAAAACTGCCCTGGCTTAAATATACCAGGGGTGCTGCTGCCCTGTGCTGCAAATAATGATTTTTTGGTGTGGCACAAATTAAAAGTGGCTCAAGAAACGGTGTTCTTCACTCAATGCTTCATCTGGATCCATTTTTCCTCTTTGTCTCCATATTTTTTTGTTTTTATTCAGAGAAAATGTTGGTTTCAGTCTCGGGACACTGGGGGAAGCATTTCTCACTTTGCTGAAGTGAGACAAGGAGAGGTTTCATTTCAGGCATGATCTTACCCCACCCACAGCTCTCCTGTGTAGCAGCAAACCAGAAAGGAACCAAAGCTTACTTAAGCAAACCAAAGCTTAGGGAAAAGGGGATTTAAATGGGATCTTTCACTTAAATCAAGGCAAAAAAAAAAATTCTACTATTTCCACAGTTTCCCAGCATTAAGGGGAAGCAAAACATTTTTGAAGAGAAGTGGAGAGATGAAAAAAGTTGCTGTTTTAAGTGGGAAATCCAGTCAGAAAGGGCTGAGATAAACATATGAATATTGGGATACATGTGCTGAAAAATCACAGATCAGGTGTATTTTGGGCTATCAACAAGAGTATTTTCATCAGTAAAACTGGAGGTTATGGTCTAAGAAGGTTGTCCAGGCTCCTCAAGGGAGAGCCTCATGGAGCCTCCTGTCCTGCTCAAGGGGAAGGAACTGCTCCCATGTTCTGGGTAAGAGGGGCAGGAGGGGGTGTGAGGTCTTCAGACCTCCACCACAGGAAGAGAGAAACCAGAAGAGGCTCCTCTGAAACCAATTTTGGTTGCATTGTCAAAGTCTTGGAGATCTTTAGGCCTGAAAGGTCACCCTGGGAGACAAAACAACCTCATGAATGGGGCTCTTTGTGAACCAGCCAACTCTGCAATCCCACTGGGGCTGGAAACAGCCCGGGAAGAAGGGCTGTCCCACCTTCCTTCTGCCCTTTGTGGAGTCTAGACATCCGTGTCAATGGAAAAAAGATTAAATAAGGATGTAAAAGAAGTGTATTTTCCAGTGGCAGGAAAAAGCCAGCTCACCCTTTGAGAATAGAGCGGTGCCATGGGGACAGGAACTGACTCAGTGCCACGGCCAGGACGTGCCGTGGGGTGGGTGCGCCTGGCTCGGGGTGGGCAGAGCTCTTCCGAGGGGAAGGGCAGCCTCCCAACCACGGCTGGGGCCACACCAGCCCAGCAGGAGCCTTGGGACACGGGCAGGAACGTCCCTTGGCCACTTCTAACCTGCAGGAACTGGGAGCTCGGGGGGGATGGGAACATCAGGTGATGCTGGAGATGATCTTGGAGATCTTCTCCAACCTTATCAGTTCCATGGTTTTATGACTCTTCTCTTGGGTTCTTTCTCCTGAAGAGTCAAAGTCTGCCTGTGCCTTGGGATGGGGTGTGGGGTGGAGGCAAAGCTTGGTTGGGTCATCTTCAATTAAAGCCAAGCCCAGTGATCTTGGCAGGGTTGAGGGCACAGCTTCTGCAAACATGGCCTGCAGTGGGTTCTTGTCACACTCACCTCGTTGCGTTCTTCCTGCTGCTCCTCCCTTTCCCAGCAGCAGCCCGGGGTTATTCCTGCAAAATCACCAGATAATCAGCTCTGTCAACAACAGAGAAACACCATGGTTCAAAATCCTGGAGCACGTTTTCAGCTGCTCCACAGAACAGCTGGGATTTACCACCTGAGAGGGGCTGAGCTGTGGTGCCCAGCTAAGCACCCTGGTCTGGGATCCCCACATTCCTGCCAGAGGGAATGCGGGATTTAGAGATGGCTGGGTGACAGCAATGGGACCCTGAACCAAAGCAAAAAACTGTTAAACCCCAGAATCCCAGACTGTCTGAGGCTCAAAGCTCATCTCATTCCACCCCTTGCCATGGCAGGGACACCTTCCACTATCCCAGGTTGCTCCAAGCCCCAGTGTCCAACCTGGCCCTGGACACTTTGTCCTTTGCTGTGCATCTCCCTCTCTGTGACTCTTGGTGCTCCTGGAGGTGCCTGCTGTGGCACGGCAGAGGGAACTTACCTCCCTAGGGAATAGATGGATTATGTACAAAATCTTGCAGGAAAAACCAGCTTTCTGGAAATCCAGTTTTTGAGACTTAACAACAATCAATGGGATTAATTAAATTCAGTTGTGACTCCATCGTGTTCTTCCTCTGATTTGAAGATTTCCATCCTCTCTTTCTGCAGGGCACTGCCAGCTGCGGCTGAGGGAGGAAAGGGTCTGTGGGAGCTGCATCCTTGGGCAGACCCTGGTGGGTTTATGGGATCACTGGATTCCCCTGCTCCATTCCCTTAGGTGCTACCCCTCTCCCCCTCCTTCCCAACCCTACAGTTGCTCCAGGCCCTCCTTCCATTGCAAAACCAACTGAGTCCTAATTGGAAGCACAGGATTCTCTTGTGGGAATTAGAAATGGCAAAGTGAGGAATAAGGAAGCAATAAGGAAGGAGCAGACATGGAAGCTCACTACTGTTTTGGAAGTGAAAAAAGAAACCAAGTCCAGGTGGTTGGACTGATGATCCCAGTGCCAGCAGATCCCAGGGGATAACAGAGCAGTCAGGGCAGGAGGTTGTGTGGGGCTGGATTGGGAGGTCTGCCCTGAACATCCAGTTCAGCAGCTCCAATAAATACCTTGAGTGAAAATCTTGTGTTAAAGGGTCAACATTGTCAGCTCTTGTGAGAACTTTTCATTCCTTCCTGGAAAACACACAGAGATCTCACTCATGTTATTATCTTGTTCTAGATAGCAAAACCCAGGAATTTCAGCAAATTCTTCTGCTCTGGCCACGAGATGGATGTCAGGGTTGGGACAGTTGTCCCAAGAGAGAGAGGTTCATCTGTCCCAGCAGGTGTGGAGCAGTCACTGAGGTCCCTCCAAGGCCCAGGCACCTCTGAGGAGCCTCATGTTCTCACATCCTGCTGCAGAAGAAGATTCTCTGATCATCTCTCTGCCTTGGCTCTGTGCAGTTCTCATGGTCCCATCCCAAATTTAGAGACTTTACTGGCATTCCTTGTTCACTCAGGTGATCACCTCCTCATGGGGATTCCCCATCTGAGCACCTCCATTCTCATACCCCACTTTTCATGTGCCCCACCCAGCAGGAAGTAACGTGGGCCTTCTGTGAGGTGTTTTTGTTCCTTTTGTGAGGAGT